GTCTTATGGGCCCCTAATAAACCAATTAAAAAGTTGATACTATTGTTCCCTGTGGGGTTTTCTAAATAGTCAGGCCTTTGAGAAGCAGTGAAATAGATTTTATTCTACAGCAGTGGTTCTCAACCTTCCTAATGCCGCGACCCTTTCATACAGTTCCTCATGTGATGGCGACCCTGCAACCATAAAATTATTTTCGTTGCTACTTCATCACTGTAATTTTGTTACTGTTATGAATCGGGCGACCCCTGTGAAAGGGTCGTTCGACCCCCAAGGGGTTGGGACCCACAGGTTGAGAGCTGCTGCTCTACAGTGTTTTTCCACCTGCTCTGCTGCCTGTGGCTGCCACACCTGCAGTCTGTACACTGAGAGTGCATGCCGCTCCGTCGCTTGCATTGACACTGGAACTATACCTGAATGGGGCAGGGGTACACACACTGAATGGAAGTAGTAAGTCAACAGCAGGAGCGGTTGCTGGCCTTTGAGATGTTCTGCTAGAGCCTTCTTTGGGGCCAGCTGCTCATTTGATACAGAGCCTTGTGTCTTGGGAGAGTTCTGCAGCAAAGACAGACGAGGGAGGGTTGCCTTTCTCAGCTGCATGTGCAAGTTTGTAATGCAGATTGTGTACTTGACAGAAGAAAGGTAGACATTCTGACAATTCTTCTTTTGAAGTAAAAGGATATGATATTAATCATGAAGCCAAGGTAATCTAAGAAAAGGCAGTTATCCAGGCAAAATAGGTTTCTAAAAACAGCGAGTATCTTTAGTAAACTCTGTGTGTCAAATATGGGAATTCAGAACATCTCCTCTCAATAAGGTCTAAAATGTAATAAACCGGTCGCTGGTGAGTGAACTCTAACTCGGGAATCTCCTGTGTGCTTATATCAATGTGGAATTGTGCTCCATTGTGTTTTCAATGGCTGATTATCTCAGTGTTTTGTAGATACCAACTTGCGTTGGTATTTATTGCGTTGCCTCTGGGTCGACTAATCTTTTGGCTAAGAGTCAGTGAATTAATTATTGACACCACCCAAGAACTCCATGAACTATAATAATGAACATACAAAAGACAATTATTTTCTAATGCTGATTGTCTTTGGCTCATCCAGAGGAGAGAAATGCGCCTTCCTGGTTCACCAAACAGTGTTATAGGCCTTACAGTCATTATCCCTGGACTGCCTGATACCTTTGCCCTACACCGGCTAATTTCAGAAGGCTGGCTAATTTAATTTCTTGCACTGGCTCCTAGTTCTTTGCTCCTAGTGGTCATATTTCTCTTGAATAATTTGTCCTCTCTCCAGAAGGATTTTAGTTTTTGAATTTCTGCCACTCATCCTTAAATTACATCGGACAACCGAGTTTTGGGAAATGATGGCTAAACTAAAAGTGAGAGCTTTCGGAGTGGGAGGTGAAGAGGGCTTGTTCTCCTGTGTCATCGAGACCGTGCACACGACAGAACAGAGCCCTGTCTGGGACTGTGCCGCCCTCCCGATGCATATGGTAGAGCCCATTTGTTCCAAGCACTGTGCCAGTCCAGCTTGCCGTCCTCTTCCTTTGCTGCCCTTCGACTTTACCAAGCACGATGTTCTTTTTCAGGAATTGGTCGCTTGATAACATGCTCAAAGTACATAGACAGAGTCTCGCCATTCTTGCTTCTAAAGAACATTGTGGCTGTACTTCTCCCAAGACAATGCTACTTGAAGTACAAGCTGGCTGTGATAGAATAGTATCTATATGAATACAAGAAAATTTAGTTAATATAAGTATTCAAATTTATGCACAAACTACTAAAGCTAGGGATGCAGAAATTGAAGAATTTTATCAACATCTTCAGTCTGATATTGATCAAATGTGCAATCAAGATGCACCTCAGACAAATATGTTTCTTCTTGCGGCATCCCATGGTATTTTCAATCTTCTTCTCCAGCACCATAATTCAAATGCATTGATTATTCTTCTGTTTTCCTTATTCAAGGTCCAACTGTCACATGCATCTAAGGTGATTGATTGAAAATACCCTGGCTTGGCTCAGGCCCACCATAGTTCTCAATGTCACATCCTGACTTTTAACACTTTAAAGAAGTCCCCTGCACCAGAGTTACCCACTGCAATGAGTCCTTCGATTTCTTGACTGCTGCTTGATTGCAGATACAAGCAAAATAAAAGCCTTGACAACTGTGATATTTTCTCTGTTCATCATGATGTTACCTAGTGGTCCAGTTGTGAGAACTTCTGTTTGAGTTGCATTGAGTTTTAGTTCAGACTGAAGGCTGTAAACCTTGATCGTTATCAGAAAGGGCTTCCAGTAGTCTTCACTTTCCATCAGCAAGAGTGTGTCCTCTGCATGTGGAACGTTGTTAAAAAGCCTTCCTGTGATCCTGATGTCGTGTCCTTCATAGATACTAATAAAGGTGGAATAAGTCGCATAGTAACCACTCATCAGTCACTTTGTGGTGGTTGTGGTGGTTACATAATTTCATGTCAATGTGAAGATATATAAAAGTGTAGGGCTGGTATTCAGCCCGTCAATCAGGTCACAGCCTGTGCGTGGCCTTCTCATGAGGAGGACCCTGGGAGCCTCCCCTTCTCTCTCTGCCTTCACCTTTCTGCTGGCTGACCCTGATTGCTGCCAGAGTCACCGCCATTGGATCCACATGACTTTGCACCCACCAGCCTGTGCTCTTCCTGCATTCTGCATCATTGCATATTCCTGTGTGAGTCTGAAGAGGGACTTAGGGACTAGTATTGGACTTAGGGACTTGAGTTAGACTGGGGTGGGTGGAATATTTTCTTGATATGTAATTACTTCTTGATATAAAGCTCTTTCTTAAACATATATGAGTGTCACTGGATTTGTTTCTCTAGTCACCCTGGCCTCGTACATGGTGACTTGCGTTTTGCTGTGATGTTGGAAGGTATGTCACTGATATTTCAAGTACCAGCAGAGTCACCAGGATGAGCAGGTTTCAGCAGACCTTACAGGCTGAGGACAAACTACCATGAAGGAATGGCCCATCCAGTCAGAGGAATTACCCACAGAACACTTCATTGTCAGATACCGTGCCAGAAGATGAGCTCCTCATACTGGGAGGCGCTCAAAAATGAGACGGGAAGAACTGCTTCATTAGAGTAGAGTTGATCTTAACAAAATAGATGGAGTAAAGTTCAGGGGATCTTCATTTGCTTACAAAGTACAATTCAAAAGAACAAAGAAACAGCTGAAAACATCAATTAATAATTGGAAAGCATAGCATGGACCAAACATGGATGTAGGAAAATTGGAGTTGGTCACAAATGACCATATAAAGATCAGTATCTCGTATCTTGCCCTGTCCGACGAGATATTGATCTTTATATGGTACGACAAAATAATAATTTATAAATTATCAAGGGCTCATGAGGGAGGGGGGAGCGGGGAGGGAGAGGAAAAATGAGGACCTAATGCCGGGGGCTTAAGTGGAGAGGAAATGTTTTGAGAATGATGAGGACAATGAATGTACAAATGCGTTT